TGCTTTTTCTTTTTTTTTTCTTTTTTTTTTTTTTACCTCAGATGCCCTGCGAAAGAGAGCCGCAGGTCGAGGCCATGCAAGCAGGATTCTCCAGAGACTGGAGCCAAAGGGCCAGCAAAATGGTGCTTCCAGTCGGAAGGGCCAGATCGCCCCTAGGAGTTCACACCAGCCTTACTTCTTGAAAATTGCTAACCAACCATTTTTCTTTTCAAAATAAACACTATTTCTCTCAACTTCAGTTTGCAAAATATTACCCCAATTCCATTGGACTAAAAAACTGGAATTTTACTGACATAATTGGATTATGAGGTTTAAAGATTGATGGAACTTTTCTGTTCCAAATATAATTGTTCAAATACCAAACCTAAACGGGTATGTCGAAGTCCTTACGTAGCTGAAGCCAGAGCAACACTGCCGGCCTCGCGGCAGGGTGGCCCAGCGTGGGGGTCACCAGCCCTGTTACAGAAGGACCTGGGCGTCCTGGGGAACACGTCACCCTTCCTGGAGCCACAGCTTATCACGAGAATGAAGACTTCTTTAGTCACTCTGGTTCCCTCCATGCCTGCTCATTTCTCAGATCTCAGCTCAAGCACCAATGACCTTGGCAGTCTGTTCACACAGATAATACAGCACTTGCCGTACTCTGCTGTAATTTATCTGAGTATAAATCCGTCTCCCTGAGAAACAGTACAGACCTGCAGAACAAAGGCTAGGCCTCGCTGGTCTTTGTATTTCCAGTGACTAACTCAGTACTTTGCATATATTAGATATACGCATACACGTTACATCTACGCATTTATAAGTAATATATGTAAATAAATGTATATAGGAGAGAAAAGACATAGAAGGTTTTATTTAGGAATGACAGAATATGTACTCATTTATTCACAGTACATGTGTTTGAGCGTGCGCTGAGACTCGTTCCTAGTTCTTGTGACATTCCTGGGAAAATTAATATTGATAAAGCTCTGTGAAGCACTGGAACTCTGAGCGGAAAAGATCACAGCAGTACCAAGTACTGCTCTCCTCCATCACAAGTCCATAGTGACCACTGCTTGATGCACTTGATCCGTGCTCTTCTGCCACGAGACTGACAGTTCCACAAGAGCAGAGACCACATCTATTTCTGTTCACTGCTGAATCTCCACTGCCCGCGCATGGCGTTCAGTGAATATGTTAGTTGAAAACCTGAGTAAATCTATTGTGAGACCAGTCAAAAAGAAGGGAAAGGTAATCAGAACCAAGCACTTCCACGCACTGTGGACTTTTCTTTATGTTTTTTTTTTTTTTATTGTGAAAAAGAACTTAACCGTGACTACACAACCACATGAATGGACCCTGGCACCCTCGCCAGCTGTGCGGGTCAGGTGGTAAGTGGGGTGTACGGATGGATGAAAGAGGCAGCACTCCAGCACACCCATCAGCTCCTGCACCTTCAGCCGTCAGTGGCTATCTACCCACGCCTAGTCCATGGGTTTATGGAAATTATCCAGTTTTAGCTCAACTAATCCTTACAAAATAGGCAAGTGGCTAAAAAAGATGATTGCAAGATCCACAAGCTGAGGATATCACCAAACTAATAATACCACCAACAGCAGGAAAATGGCGAAGATGACATACCTTCTGCTCCTAATATGAATTCATCGCCAGCCACACTATGATCTCAAAACAATGACTGTCAATCGTACGTTACATACAGATACTTAGACAAAAATAAATATACTTAATCTGTCTCTTCAAGGTAAAAGTGACGTTTTAACAATGAGGAAAAAAAGTTATTGTTTTTTGAAAACAAAATAAAACAAGAATCTCATTTTGAAGATAAAATTTTTTAAATAAATGTTTTGAAATATTTCCATTGTTATACCATTTGGGTTCCTAAAATGACCTAAGTATATAAACTACAAAACTACTTGTATACGTAAACATCCTAATAGAATTTTCTAAGTAGTTTTCAAAGATGCCAAATGAAGAATAATCAATGATATGGACCTATTTTTTAAGAATCTAAAAATGGAGCCCCTTTCAATTAGTCCACAAGAACTGACATCATGAAAGATAAGAAATTAACTGGATTGCAAAATGAATCTCAATATGATCCATGAATAGGATTGAAAAATAAATATTATGATTTAGTAAATTCGGCTTACTTCCTCCCAAGATATGAGGTATCTTTTTCAGTTATGATAACTATTAAAGGCAAAACTAGATATCAAATTTACAGAACTTATCATCAGACCTTTGTATTTCTATATCATAAGTTATTAAAGCAAAATTTAAAAAAAGAAAGAATATTCAATCACATTACTTTCACCAAAAGTAAAATTATTAATAAGAAGTTTTTGATACCTTTTAAGTAAAACAAAAATATTTTAAAATTTATATCGTTCTCATTTTTCCACTTTTATGGAAATTTACACTGTATGTAATAAATTAGTAAAGTAGTAAGCATGCTTATAATTTTAATATAAAGGCACATACATTATTGAGAACGCATGTTCAACAAAGTTTAGAGATTACTACTTCAGGGTATCAGGAAGCAACTGAAAGATTTTAAGCCAAAAGAGTGAAAAAAATCAGATTAGAACTTCAGAAACATAATCTTAGAGATAACAGGCAGGGAGAAAGTGTTTGGAGGGGCGGGGTGTGTGTGTGTGTGTGTGTGTGTGTGTGCGTGTGCGTGTGCGTGTGCGTGTGCGTGTGCGTGTGCGTGCGCGCGCGCGTGTTTAATCCCTGTTATTATGCTGACAGCAGAGAGCATCCCACAAGCTCCTTGTATCTTTGGATTCTTTCGTCCGACACATAGGTACGCTTTAACAGAGGCCTTCTGCAGAGCAAGGCCTCCTATTCTGTGGTCTAACCCAGAAGGCAATGGGAGCCAAAGAAAAGGGCAAGGTGGAGCCACGAGTGGAAAACTGAGAGCAATACCAGGCTCTGTGACTGTTGAGATGACTTATTATTAATCTGTGGGCTAAGAGTTAAGCCGAGAAATGATTGGGTGCCTCTCTCTTCTGATAGTCCCGCTCATAATTTTTAAAAGTGATAAAAGCTTATTTTAAAAATAACTTGAATAACAGAGCAATTTATAAAATGAAAAGTAAAATATTGCCTCCCTACCTCCTACTAATCCACTGAGTTCACACATGGTAATCACCATCAATTACTATAAAAAAAAGGGCTAAATTTCCTTCCAGTCCTTTTTCTATGCATATATACTTGTTTGTGTACATATAAATGTGTGTCTATACATTTGTACAGTTTTTATATTATCTGACGTTATAAAAAAATAGGGTCAAATTCATATTGTTCTCAACCTTGTTTCTTTTACTTTGCAATATATATAATGGCCTTTGTCTCAGGCCAGTCCACATAGATCTAGCTCCTTTTTGGCAGCTGTCAGGACTTCAAATCTGCTATCTTATTAATATCACATAGGCTACTGAACCATTCCTTTGTTGATGGACATGAGCAGGGTCACTGTTACAATGAAGCAGAAATGAATGAACAGTCGTATACACAGATCCTTGTGCACCGCTCTGAGTAGGATGGATTCTCAGATGTAGAGTCTGGGGGTGAAAGGGTAGGTAAGGTTGAAATGTTGACAGCTACTGCAGAACGGCCATACTAACACACTTCAAACAATAAAGTTCAGCCATTTGTTCTGACCTTTTCTCATTAAATTTTTTACTAGATTCCTAGATTTAGGAAAATAAGTCCCAGAAAACGAGTTCCTCAATGTGTACATGAGAAAAACAAAGGTTCTGAGGGAGTAAGGTTTTGGGCCAACATCTCGAAGCCCCTGACGAGATAACTGACCAGCACGAGTTGTATGAATGGTGCTTACTATGGAAAGCCAGGATGGCAGCCTGAGTTGACTGACTTCAAATGCGACATGTTTTCTAACACGTAGGAAGGGGACTAACTGCCATCTCTGTTTCCTCGCCTACCCTCAGCAAGAAAAGGAAAAAAAGCAGTAAATTCCTAAAAGGTACAATAGCCAGAGGGAGCAGAGGAGGAGGATTCTCAAGCTAGGAGGAGTAGTGGGCACCAAGAGCTGAAGGTATCACAAGTTCAGCTGCACGGAGTGAGCGAGTGTGGTGGAAAAGACTCTGACACGGGATGACCTTAGCGAAAAACCTTCCACCGCCTCAGTGGGTTGTATGAAAAGTTTCTTGGTTCTAAATATCTCCATGTGGCATCCAAAATGAATGCCAGCGCTGAAACCAAATTCTGAAGAGAAATATCAGAAAAGAACTAACATCCCACAATGAAGAAACATCTTCAAAGAAGATGTTGTTATAAAAATACCACAAAAGTACTTTCCAACAAATTCCAGACCTAAAAGTAAAGCTTTAAAATGAAGCTCCAAGCACAGAAGTCTTGAATCCTTTGCTCTGTGCCTGAAGAGGCCCATTTAAAGGAAGGCACTTCTAAGCAGATAACACTGTCTTTATTTGACTAGGCCTATGGGGCAGGACGATGAGAAAAGAAGGGGACAAGTGTACCTTTTGAAATGAGGATGGACTGGAGCATGGGTCAGCACACTTTTTCTATATAGGGTCAGAGAGCAAATTTCTTAGGCTTTGCAGGACACATGGTCTCTGCTGTAACTGTTCAACTCTGCTGCTGTAGTGTAAAAAATACAGCCGCAGACAATATATAACTGAATAAGCATGGCTGTGTTCCAATGCAACTTTATGGATGCTTAAATTTGAATTTCACATAATTTTCATGAAAGATTATTTTTGTTTTGAGTTTTCTCAACCATGTGAAAATATTAAACCATTCTAAGCTCATGGGCTAAACAGGCAGTAGGCTGGACTGAGCTGGCCGGCCATAATTTGCTGACCTCTGGTACAGAGCACTTAATTCTCAATTGATCCGAACTTGAATGTCCATGGAAAGATGGCAACATCTGAGCCTGGCTCCCATGAAAGCTATGTTAGAAGGCAGAAACGTAGAAAGAAACATGTTGTTTTTAAAGAGTGTCAGATATTTACCTTAAATCTCTTCTCTTGCTTAATTCCTCCGGTGGTATTGTCCAGGGCAAGCCTTGTGGGAGACACTCTAGAACTTCTGAAGAGAAATCGGAGAAATCCACACCATACTCTGTAAGTATTCCTTCTGTTTCGGGCTCGATTTCACCGGCCTGCCCCAGACTCTTAGCCAGATGCCTGTGGACAGGACAGAGAGGAACAACCTCGTTAGTGAATAAATGGAAGATCGGTACCCATTTCCTCTCTAAAACTGAGCGCAGCAGGAAGGTCTTCAAACCCTCCTGCCCTTCCCCCAGCAGGCACATCATCACGAATGAATGGGGGGCTCAACGGAATGACAATGATTCTCTCATATCAAGAGTATCAAGAGACAATGATACTCTCTCCTGTTAAATCCATGACTATGGTGAAATTTGACCTTTCTTCAGGAATTCTGACCTGGGGAGTGGAGCCAGACTGCTTTCTTAAGGATTCCTGCGATTGTTTTTCAAAGGAAGTCAAATTCATATTGTTCAAAGCTTTTGTCAATTCTTTCTCTCACAAACACCTTTAGAGACAATTCTGATCAACCCAGTTTGCTGTTAAATCATCAGTTTCATAGTGCCTATACCTTAAGTCATGCTCATTAGATTATATTTGATGTTTATATGTATTTCAAACTTAAAGCTGACAGACTAAATGCTTCCCTCTGGACAAGGAAGACAAGGTGTTCACTCTCACGATACTATTAAGTGCGGTATTGGAGGGCCTAGTGAGAGCCATCAAGCAAGACAAAGAAAAGATAGGTATGTGAATTGGAAAGGATGATTTCTACATTGCATGTAAGTGGGCCGAAGAAGCATGATTCCCATTACAGAAGTGACCAGCCTCCAACATAATGCCTGGACTCTCTTCATATAAGACTCCACTCACTCTATGAAAACCAGTAGGAAGCACGCTATGTATGACTTAAGATTCTGCTTCAACTCAAGACTTTGAATGTGAAGAGAATGACTCAAAGAGGTGCTTGGGTTTCATTCATGATGACTAGAGCGGTTTCTGGTGCCAGGGTGGTGGCAGCAGCGTCCAGTGGCAATGCTGTCCTAAAATCACAGTGGTAAGAGCTGCTGGCATCATGGCCAGACTAATCCTGACAAAAAGACGATGGCTGGACTTCCTGTTTTTGCCTCTCCAGACCTGCCTTGGTTCCCACCCATGACTTTCTCGGGACGTTCAAGACTCTTAACTGTTTCTGTAAGCTCTTCCGTATCCTTTTAATGAATTCCTTTTCCAACTAGAGTTGGCTTCTCTTGTTTGCACCAAGAATCCAGACAATTAAACATTCAGGCCTCACTAATTTTCGAAATGCTAATTAATTTTCAAAATGGCTACATTATTACCTGTGTTCACTAGAAGAAAGTTCCCACTGCAGATCTGGGAATCTGTTGTCGCTGCCTTTGAAGTTTGAAGGACATTTTAGAAATTCATTAGTATTTTGAAAATCAGTGGGACCTGCGTTACCTCCAAGCCCTCTAAGCATCCCTAATTCTCACAGGTTCCTGACGTTCCGTTCTCCACATCCACCTCCTAACACTAACGCCTTTAACCGTCTGGATTCTTAGTTGCAAGCACAAGAAACTATGGTATGAAAGGGAACTTACTGGAAAGGTATCAGAGAGCTCACAGAAAACAGTAAGAGACCTGGAGAACCCGAAAAAGAGGTGGAAACAAAGAATTACTTGTTCAACCTCTAAATTCTTGATTCCAGGCAAACAGGGAAACTCAGGGACTGCCTATGTATATCAAAAAGATATTTGGAATCTCTTACAGATACCTGGCTAAGATGGAAAAAAAAAATTCGAAGGAGGATAAACCATTACATCATAGAATTCAGGGTCTCACTAAGTCTCTAATGTGAAAAATGGAGGTAGCAATCAGAAAGAGTGAGATTCAGAGAGCCAGACCATACATGTGCACAAGATATTACCTAGAAAGATGTAGAAAGGCCTGAGAACCTTGGATGCCTAGTTCTGGCTCATCTTCCATTGTCACAAGTCAGAAGTGGGCTACAATAGCACTATATCCGTTCTGAGGGGTGGTCTCTGAAAAGGCAGTACAGTAGAAACTCCTCTCCACAAGCAGCATACCCATGTTCTGTTTGGCCTGAGGAAAAGTGGCCTAATGGGCAGTGGCTACACATTTACCCAGGTGGATACGGCTCTGAAAGAAGACAGACTGGAGGACTGATGACAAGGACATCTGGGGAAGAGACAGGTGGATGAAATGGGCCCAGAGTATGACCGTTTGCGTTCCATGAGAACGCTTCACAAAACACTTTCATTGTGGAGGCAGGACGATCTGCCCTGAGAATGTCACCAATCTCCTTCCCCAGCCACTGCTGTACCTGCTCAATGGGCATAAGAACAGGAGGTACATGGGAGCAGGAAATGAGCCCCACAGCGTGAACTCCCTCTCACTAACGATGACCTGGCCACCTCCCTGGCAGGACGCCAGTCTGCCAGAAGCAGCAAGCAGCTGCGAGCCTCTGATGTGGAAGACAGCAGGCGAGCCCAGCAACTTACCTGACAGCAGGCTGTGTTCGCTGAGCTCGTCTATGATGGAGAGGGCAGTAATCGGCCCATTAAAAGAAACATTAATTCCTTTTAATTGCTACCTTCACTTGTTCCACCCACCTTGCTCGTATAACAATAAAGACCACAATCCACAGATTTACCAAATACCTTTTGAGCTATTATGTTATACCCCATTAAAAGAAACATTAATTCCTTTTAATCGCTACCTTCACTTGTTCCATCCACCTTGCTCGTATAACGATAAACACCACAATCCAGATTTACCAAATACCTTTTGAGCTATTATGTTATCACACTAGACATCGTATGTAATCAAGCGCTTCACCGTGGAGAGGCAGCAGAGCCTGTTGAAGTCACTGATCAGAACCGTGTAAGAGTGCACTGACGGGCTAGGCAGGAGGCAACACCTATGAGGCTGGCGTACTGTCCTCCAGGTAAAGCACTGCTCTGAGTATCGTGGACCTGTGCCCATGGTCTGGGAGCCAAGAGTGCAAGGGAGGAGTTGAACCTTTCAGTATCATCCTTAAGACCCACTCTCACTAATCCTCACCTTTGTAGCTAAGAGGTTTTAGTATCTCTGGGAACAAGTGTTGTGATTCCTCTGAAGTGGAAGCCAGGACTACAAGAATCCTGACTGATATGATGAGGCATAAAATATACGACCCACTGCCTTCCTGCAAAAACATTTGCAATTCAAGTTAGCTGAGAGATTACTCAGAAGGAAGGATTCGAGAATGGCGAGTATTAACATAAAGTGTTACTCTTATTTTATGTTGGGACATATGAAGTTGACCATTTTTTACCTACAAAATGCAATTTTACATGATTCTACCTTACAGTATTCAAAACCACATAAAATAATGAACCATACATATACTCAAACAGCACAGATAGTTTCTCGGAGATGTATAAACGATAAGGTAGATGATATAGAAGTTATTAGAGAATTAGACCTATAGGAAAAGAAACACATTCTTATGTGTGGTGGGAAGCAGACTTAAAACAAGGTGGCCATCTTACTCTTATTTGGTGAGGTCAGAGTGGCCGAAAACTATTGTGACACCTAAGGGAAAAGGGCCTAAACACTTGAACGAAAGGCATTTTATAACATCCAACTTGTAAAACATAATACTAAAATCCAGAGAGACCCACTCCCACGCGTAGGTGTTCACTTCACACTGACACAGTGCTGCTGGTTCTAGACCATACAAATACTACAAACGGCTCCTTCCTTAAGCAATGTATTTCTCTCTTAAAGACACTCCCTTTAACTTTCATGTTGAACTAGATGTACAAAACAAACCAAGTTCATTTCACCTTCATGGAATGTAGGAGCCAGGCCAGGAAGCCACCCCTGCCCCCCGAGCAGATCTCTCTCCACGGTACAATCCCTCTCCTCTGGTCATATTCCCTCTCGGGCACATGCCACTTTCTAGCTGTGTCCTGTTGCATTAGGTATCTCTCTTCTTTGTCTATAGATGATCATTATAGAGGAGGATCATTCAAAAGAGAATAAACATTTCTTTATTTCTATATCTTACAATGATACTTTTTCATCTTAGGAGTCCAATACATGATAGTCGAATGAATAAATGAATAAACAAATTAATGCCTTTGAGTCTATAAAAAAGGCATACTATTCCTCCTTAAAACTCTAAAGGAAAACTACGAAAACTGAATATAGTAAAAACAAATAAAACTCAAAGACATATATTTATTTAGGTAAACTCTTGAATCCTTTAATAATCAGCTGCCATATTAGCAAAAAATCAGGAACAGGAAAAAATGCCTGAAATTCTTGCTTTCATTCAAAATTGAACTTACGTCACTTATTGGTATGGAAAATATCTTTCCCCGTTGTGAGTTGCCAGTTAAGAAAGATAAGGAAATAAAAAGTTGTAGGGATCAGAATAGAAGAAACAAATCTGTCATTATGTACCAATGATGTGATTATCTACATAAAAAATCTAAAGGAAACCACAGTATATCCAAAGTTTTAAAATTAATAAGGGGATGATATAGTAAGAAGGCTGGATATAGAATTAATATACAAAAATTAGTTGTTATTCTACACGCAAGCACTAGAAAGTTAGAAAATACAACTTAAAATCTTGTTCTTCAGAAGTGAACATTAATAACATGAAAAGACAACTCATAAACTGGGGAGAAGATATTTTCCACATAGTGACTGCTAAAAAGATAACTTTTTAGAAAATTTTTTAACTCCGAAAAATCAAACAGCCCAATTAAAAATAGAATGCTAAAATGAGTGGGTGAAAGTTTAATCAGAAAGAGTAATTGCACAGTATTAAAAAAATCTTCCCCAAAACACAGTTTAGTAATTACAAGGGGAAAATAATAAGTTAAAAATCCTGGCAGATACCAGCTTAGCCAAGTGATGGAGGTTAACATCACCAGTAATACATACTGACATCACGTACTCCTTGGTATCATGCACACCACCTCTGTGCTATCCCTCTCAATAATGAATGATCTCCGTCTACTCATGAGAAAACATTAGACAAACCCAAATTGAGGAGCAGTCTACGAAATCACTGACCAATATTCTTCAAAATATCAAGGTTACGAAAGATGAGGCCGAGG